AAATATTTAGTGGGCCCGGATCCGGATCCGGATATCCGGACTAAAATTTTCACTATCCGGATCCGGATCCGGATTCGCCGGATCCGCAAAATCACTATCCGGATCCGGATCCGGACCCCCCGGATATCCGTTTTTTCGGAGCGGATCGGGACGGATCCCGGATCGGATAGCGGATAGCGGATATTAAGTCCCAGCCCTACTTAAAACTCTCAAAATATATTCATTAATATTTAACATTATATTATTAATTTTCCTCCTCTCCAAATATATCTTTGAGGAATTCTATAAGAAAAAAAAATCACTTATAATTTCAGTATATCATTCATTTTTACCAAAATAAATATATCTTTCACAGTTTTTTCCTTTTATAAGAATTACTTAATTATTAATTTATTATAACTAAATATTTTTAAAAATGAAATAAAAATATAACATGGAAAAAAAAATTTCTTCAGTTTAGTTCCAGTTTGATATTAGACTGTTGAAACAACCAATATTTAACCAATTATGTTTTATGAATTTTGTTTATTCTAAAATCATTAAAAAAAAATTATTAAACTTCCTCTTGTTACGTTTAAGTTTGGTGGCTTTAGACTTTTAAAATTAATATTAAAATCTAAGAACATATTTAAAACATTTTATATTTTGAAACAACATAAACTTTATAAAATATCATATTTAAAAAACTGAGGGAGTATTAATATGGTACGAAAAGAAAAGAAAAAACAGAAGTGGACAGTTAAGACCATCTCCAATGGGGGTTCTATCCCATTGGAGTTCTAAAACTATATATTTGTGTATATATATATTATATATGTTTATGTAATTGTAGGGTCTACCAAATAGTGTAGAACCCTCTTCAAAAGTTCTAAATGTAGAATTTTTTAGAACTTTTAAAGAGGGTTCTACACTATTTGGTAGACCCTACAATTACATACATATATATAATATATACATACACAAATATATAGTTTTAGAACTCCCGTTGGAGATGGTCTAAGAGTGTTGCACTATCTTCTTTACAAGCCACACGATATCCTTTAGACGAAGAACTCGCTGAGTCACCACCACAATGAACTCAACACAAACACTCTACTCCCCCGGCGGTAACCCCCCGTCATCATCTCATTCAACGCACCCATCCTCCCTCTTCCCTCAAATCAACAGATGCCGAACCACTCGAGACCTCTCCCAAATCCACGCCACACTCATCAAATCCGGCCAAATGCGCGACACACTCGCCGCCGCGGAGCTCCTCCGCTTCTGCGCCACCTCCGATCTCCTCCACCGCGACCTCGACTACGCACGCAAGATCTTCACCCACATGCCTCGCCGCAACTGCTTCTCCTGGAACACCATCATCCGAGGCTTCAGCGAGAGCGAAGACAACGCGATCGTCGCCATCACACTCTTCCACGAGATGATGATGAACGAGGACGAGGACTCCGAACCGAACCGGTTTACCTTCCCTTCGTTACTCAAGGCGTGCGCGAAAACCGGGAGGATCGGGGAAGGTAAGCAGATCCACGCGTTGGCGGTTAAGTTAGGGTTTAGCGGAGACGAGTTTGTTATGAGTAATCTCGTGAGGATGTATGTGATGTGCGGTTTGATGAGTGACGCGTGTGTGTTGTTTTATAAGAACATTATAGTGAGAGATATGGTTTTGGTTAATGGTGGGATGAGGAAGAGAGATGGTGAAGTTGTTATATGGAATGTGATGATTGACGGTTACATGAGGCTTGGTGATTGTAAAGCTGCGCGGATGTTGTTCGATCAAATGCGTGTGAGAAGCGTTGTTACTTGGAACACTATGATCTCTGGTTATTGCAAGAACGGGTGTTTCAAGGAGGCTGTGGAGGTTTTCAATGAGATGAAGAGAGTTGATTTGCGTCTTAGTTATGTTACTTTGGTTAGTGTTTTGCCCGCGGTTTCGCGGATCGGGTCGTTGGAGTTGGGAGAGTGGTTGCATTGGTATGCGGAGAGGAATAGAGTGGAGGTTGATGATGTCCTTGGCTCTGCTTTGATTGATATGTATTCTAAATGTGGAGTTGTGGAGAGAGCTGTTGAGGTTTTCGAGAGGTTGCCGAGGAGGAATGTGATTACTTGGAGTGCGATGATAAACGGGTTTGCTATACACGGTTTAGCAGGTGAGGCTATTGAGTGTTTCAGTAGAATGAGGAAGGTTGGAGTTAAGGCTAGCGATGTTGCGTACATTAATCTCTTGACTGCTTGTAGCCATGCTGGGATGGTAGAAGAAGGGAGGAAGTATTTTAGTCAAATGGTGAATGTGGATGGTTTAGAGCCCAGGATTGAACACTACGGGTGTATGGTTGATCTATTGGGACGCTCTGGTCTTCTTGAAGAGGCTGAGCAGTTTATACACAACATGCCGATAAAACCAGATGATGTGATATGGAAAGCTCTTTTGGGTGCTTGCAGAATGCACGGGAACGTGGAGATGGGGAAACGTGTGGCCAACATTCTGATGGATATGGTTCCTCAGGACAGTGGAGCTTATGTCGCTCTCTCGAACATGTACGCTTCTCAAGGAAACTGGTCAGAGGTTTCGGAGATGAGGCTGAGGATGAAAGAGATGGATATAAGAAAAGATCCTGGATGTAGCTGGATCGATATTGATGGTGTGCTTCATGAGTTTCTTGTGGAAGATGATTCTCACCCTAGAGCCAAAGATATCAACTCGAAGCTTGTGGAAATCTCGGAGAAACTGAGACTTGCTGGGTATAGACCTATAACCACACAGGTTTTGCTGAACTTGGAGGAAGAAGATAAAGAAAACGCGCTTCATTACCACAGCGAGAAGATCGCTGTTGCGTTTGGGTTAATAAGCACAACACCTGGTAAACCATTACGCGTAGTTAAGAACCTGCGTATTTGTGAGGATTGTCATTCGTCTCTCAAACTCATCTCCAAGGTTTATGAGAGAAAGATAACTGTAAGGGACAGGAAACGCTTTCACCATTTCGAAAATGGATCATGCTCGTGTATGGATTATTGGTGAAAGTAATTCATTGTTCATAGTGTATACACAAGCTCTGTTGTTTCTTTGCTATATTAACAATGTTAATAGTTGAATTCAGTATTCTAAAAATCAGTCTACCCGGCAAATTGTTTCTAAATTGTTTCTGGATGAAATGATTTCTTTCAGTCTGATTTTTAAAAAAATTCTGAACATTCAAATAATAGTTTTAGACAACCGCCTGAAGGTGTGGCTACATCACTTACTCGCTTTAGAATTTAGGCGTGACTACATCACTTACTCGTTTTGGAAGCTCAGCAATAAGGGGATTTGATGAGGTCCCTTCTGCTTTTGTTTGGTGTCTAATAACATCTCATTTTATTTCACTTTTGTTTGGTGTTTAATGACATCTCATTTTATTTCTTTTGTTTTTTTCTTTTATGACATTTCAAATATAACATCAGTTATAAAAGAAAAAAAGACAACCGCCTAAACATTATTTTTTTATAAGGTGTCTAACCATTGCATATCGAATTCTTGAAGATGCGTTTTAGTCCATGGATACGTTAAACTATTTATAATTTTTGTAAATTATAAATATAATTTTTTTTTCCTCGATAAGAAAATTTTATTAATCGTTCCAAATAGGATTTCGATTACAAGCTTCGATTTAAGAAAAAAAAATCCCAAACAATTATCCATAGAAACATACTGTATACTTAACAATCATACATACAATTACATGTATAATTACGAGAGCTTGATGGATTCTCAATGCAAATTCCAAACCCTTTCAACGTCTTGAAACAAACTTCCCTGCACTTTAACAACACACATTGTGTCCTGGGCGCTATCACTTTTCTGCATCTCTTCCGTGCCTCAGTTTTGGGAATGACCAATAACACTGCATCCAATTGTGAACGAACGTTCACAGTTTAGAAACGAGAGTACTTCTGCGTGGGCATATTGTAGCGTTGAATGTAGACGATAGTAAAAACAAATAAACGAAAAGTTTAAGTTACCTGAGAAGAGAACCATCAAAACCATACAATAAGAGACTAACTTGGACATGGTGAGAGAGAGTTTATTTATTTCTTTATAACCTTATTTATGATGTATGTAACTATCTGTGTTTTTTATGCCAAATGATTTTTCCTATATATACTATTATATACTACATTTTAGTCAAACCATATATGGTAGAAATTACACTATATATGTTAAATACATTGACTCTTACACATCATTTTGACCTGATAATTTCATTCTAAATCTAAAAGTATTGTAAACTTCTCTCTTTTTTTTTTTTAAGCATTGTAAACTTTAAATCACTAAAGAGAGATTCAGATATTTTTCCCACTGGTCTAACAACAAAACCCAAAGGTTACAAATGGAGGGAGAGATCAAGACAATGATCTCTACCATTCTCACTAGTCACCACATTACAATTATGATCCAAAATTTCAACACGTTGCTGACCAAAACACCCTCCTCTGCTATCTCTGCCTTGGTGGGATGCAGCCAACACAGCACGAGCACCGTTGGATCTGAATATTGGGTGGTCCGGTTGGGCAGGTGTAAAGCAGCCAAAGGAGGCAGGTGAAGGGTAGCTTAAGATGGCCAAGTGGTGCGGAGAAGGAGATGATAAGAATACAGGTAACGTGTGAAGAAAGTCATTGTTGTTGACGAAATCGTAAGCCCTTTTGGCTCTTCTTGCAACAGTTCGCTCCTTCTTGTGGCCGTTCTGGTGACCTCCTAAGGCTTGAGAACTCTGAAACTTTCTAGAACAAAAGAGGCATGGGAATACTCTTGATGAAGATGTGTCTTCATCTCTCTTGTTAGCTTCTTTAGTTTTGTTGATCTCTTTTGCTTCCTCTTTCACTTCATGGTGATGATCATCTTCCATTTTATGCTATCTATATACAGAAGAAAATGTACATAACATAAGATTAACTTCCAGTGAGTGCCTTAAACTGATTAATCAATTTATATACCTTTAAGTTGAAGACTAAGAGAGAGAGAGAGAGAGAATGTGTGTATTGTGGGCTTCAGAAGATGAGTTTAAAAAGGCAATGGAGAATATGAGAAGTAGAGGAGAAGTCAAGTTAAAGATGGTGTTTGAGGAGAGTTGGAAAATGTAGAGAATATGAATCTGTGATTGGATTCATTAGTTCTGTTGTGTTGCAGAGCCAACTTTGGGACCAGGTTCTTTTACTAGTATGGGCTTGGGAACAGAGGAGATAAGAGAGAGACAGAGATAAAGAGAATGAGTAATGGTGGTGCATGTTGATGAGAAGTAAAATGATTGGTGAGAAAGAGACTTTTGATTTGGGAAATGGAATTGAACTTCTCTTTCTCCTTTCTTGAGTTTAGCAATTTTTTTTTGTTTTCTTTTGCATCTTTTTTAAATGGAACTCATATTTGCTATTGGCTTAGTCATAAACTCCTCATTTGTTAATACTGCTGACCATGCCTTTACTGATCATAAGATTAGTTCCTTTAAAAAGGTGTAATTGAGAAACATATATTAACAAACACACATTAAGGATACTCATCTCTTGAACAAGTTGCCAAAAGGAAAGATGGCTCCATAACTTAGAGAAGCAAATTGGTAGACATAAAAGCGTCTGATGATGGGTAATGACTGATCGCACCGCCCACTTCACCTTGCAACTTGTCCTCACCTAGTTGGCTATTTCTCAGTCACACAACAAAAAGGTAGTAAGCCATTACCCATTGGGCTTTATGTTTATGAATCTGGCGAGGCCCATTTACCTTTCTTCCATTGTATATATGATATTTCCATAGTCAGGTGTTATATAATGGGCTTAGACCATGATTATCCCTAAAATCCATACGATTTTTTTTTTCAAATTAATTTTTTTTTAAAAGTACACCAATCACGGATCGCCATGTATTGGTGGGATTTGCGGATCTTACCAACATCGACTCTTATCTGACGCCTCTGAAGACCAATTATTAAGATCACCATTAGCCATGGTTCTTAAAATAAAAAATTGATTTTTAAATGTATGGATGTCACTATTATCTTAAGAACCATTTCTTATATATCTTGTGTAAGAACATATAGTTTAAGAACTCTTACAAGGTTCTTAAACTATTCACGGGTTCCACCAACATATAGTGATCCGTGATTTTTTTTTTTTTTTTAAAGACAACAAATTTAAAAGAAAAATTAAAAAAAATTCTAAAAACCCTTATTAGCTAAGAGCTAAGGGTTAATGATGCTCTTAAGAAACCCTTAAAACTGTCCGATATTCATGCTCTTAGCTTTGTTCCTATATATTCTCTGAGAAATACAGAACATTTGTCAATAACAATGAACTGTACCTAGGTCGTCCAAGTGCGACAAAACCTTGAAAGTTACTGAGTCTTGAAATTTTCTTTGTAATAGATATGTAATCAATAACAAAAGAAAAGTCAAGTAACCAAGAAGGGAAAGTTAGGTAGCAATGAAACGATGAAAAGACAATAAAGAGGAGATTAGGTAAGAACAGTGGTGGTGGTGGTGGAGAAGCAAATTAAAGAGTACGTGAGTAGAAAGTAAAACACCAAAAGATTGATTAACTCTTCATCATCTGGAAGTCTACATATAAAAAGAAATTCCAATTTGATCTTCTTTTTAATATTAAAAAAAAACTTTCAGGTAATTATTGAAACACCATATGACGGGGCCAACCAAATTTAAGTTTGGTCACAGCCGGGCATTCTGACACGTTGATCAAGTCTAAAGGTACTTAAATGCCTCTCATCTTGTTTTCCTCACAGTTCCTAACACATTTTTAATAAATTAATCGTCGACACACAGAAGCATATCATCTAGAAGGCTCGTAACTCAGTGGGTGAGAGACATGACAGAAAGTTTTAGTGCGCCACATGAGCTCATGACACTGCCTCAACAAACGTCACTTTGACGAGTTCATGACACTGGTTCGTGTGTTAGTTTACTATGTTCATGAATGTAACCCTACCAAAGGTAAATGAATTACAACTGTCGGCAAAAGAAAATAAATGTAGATGAAGGACGAGTACATGTTAAATCTAGGTTCTCGGCCTTGAAGAATATTCAACTAAAGACTGATTAATAAAACACATGCTTTGAAGAAATCGAACAAGTTGCAAATATTAAAATCCAAGCATCAACACTCTTATGAATGAATCAGTGATTTTAATAAAATAATAGTATTAAATCATGCAGAACTTGAATAGATCTAACCTAAGCAACCAGATTAATCTAGAATCTTGCTGAGAATCCGTCCAGATTCATGTGATATTTCCCCTACTCTCGGATTCATAGTATTACAGTATTTAATACTGATTAATACTCCCTCCGTTTCATATTAAGTGTCGTTGTAGAGAATTTTTTGCGTTACAAAATAAGTGTCGTTTTCGGCTTTCAATGCAAAATTTATTAATTTTATTATGTAATTTATTTTTCTATTGATTAAAATATGGTTAGGTGTATGGGTAATTGTATTTTTATATTGGAAATATGTAAAATTAATTGTTTCTTTAATCCGTGTGCACAGCTGTAGAGTGACACTTATAATGAAACAGAGGGAGTAATAACAAAAGAAAACACTTTTTCCACTCAAGAGAACATGCAAAAGTTTCATTCATCTCACTAAAAGACCTACACAACTACACTATCACTCTTTACAGTAGATTGTATATTGATACTTAGTATAGTCGACGAAAGGTTAAACTCCATGGCCGTCTCAAAAATTGGTTTTCTCGAACTCACTCTAGAAACTTTTGATGGTTGGTAATATACTCCCAGGGACTTCTAGTTAGATGTTTCTTGTAGTTTGAAAGATTTGTTTTGTTACATTTTCCTTTTAAATACTATTATCATGTTTTATAAAATCAAAAATAGTGATGGCTGATTGACTGTGGTCCCATGTCATGAATATGACCGTATGATGATAATTTTTCTGGTGAAAGCGGCAACGCTTGTTAACTAGTGAATACTGCTTCCCAAGCTGTCTAGATTCATTGGTTTCTTACATAAATGTCTGAGAGTGACACTGATTCCTAATTCATTTGTTAAAACCACTTAAATTATTTTAATCCCTTATCTTTTAAGTTGACTCAGTGATTCATATGACGATGGATCATTGAAATTATATAACTACTGAATTTTTGGGAATTTTTTTATCTTTTGAAATGAAGGTTGAAATGCCTTGCACCACTTGCTAAGGACTGTTCTGTACTTTGACGTCAATTAAATGATCATTCAACCAACTAATCAATATGAAAAAAAAAGTTTATAAGAGTGGACTGAACTTAATTTTCTCTCCTAGTTTGGAACATGAATTGTGATTGATTTAAGCTACGAGAACGCAAAGGAAAAACAGTTGTGAAATAGTTTTAAATATATATAAATCTAGAAAACAAAACTTATCTGATCATTCAAAATGATTGTTAAAAAAAGATTATAACATATGCCACTGAATTGTGAATATACTACAAAAAGAAGATACCAATTACATATGTAATTATTGAATTTAGCTACATACGAATATAGTTGGCCTTAATTATAGTAATATATAAATTACATAATTAAAATTAGCAAAAAAAAATTTAGTGAACAAATTTTTTTAATATATACACAACTGTATTTAGATATTTTATACATCTGTGCTATGAAATTGGTAAGTTTATATAACAAAAAAATCTTATATGCATGTCGTGGGTTAAGGATCCAAATCCAGTGAACTATAAAAATGACACGAGTAAGCACTGTCACAAACACATTTAATTTCGCATAGATAAGTATTGATCGATCCAAACGGTTGCAAAAAAAGTACTTGTTGTGAAAAACATATACTCTTGTAAGTTGTTGGAACGTGCAAAGGCAGAGTCCCACAGGGTAAATCGATAAGCTTAGGTAAAATATCTGACCGAACCGTCAGAACTGATAGGTAATAAGAACAAGAGGCTCCTGAGTATACACCGTATAACAATTGATATGTGCACCGAATATATAGATTCTGTTGGCCTAATATATGTGGAGAGAGGCAACGGCAATGGTAAAATGACACACGTTTAGCTCGTTCACCTACGTGGTAGGAAGTCTTCAGGTGACGTGGCATAATTATAGGAACATAGATGAGATATCGTCTATATTCATTTATTACAGTTACAACCGTACGAATATAAGTATTAGTTCAGAGGTTGTCTCTCCCAGCCTGCATAAAGACACATCTGCGCACTTCAATTATTGAGAGAGAAAGAGAGAGAGGAAAAGATGGAGAGAAGCTTGAATAAGATGAAGAATAATAATATCAACTCAACAAGGAGTGATCTGGTGAAAGATAATGAACTGTTTCATGTGATTCACAAAGTTCCATGTGGTGATACTCCCTATGTCAAAGCCAAACATGCTCAGGTACTTACTCTTCATCTTTGAGTCTTTTTTTCAGTTTTTTTTTGTGAATCAAATTTTACAAGACTCCACGTTTTTCTACTGTCAGTTCCGTTTACTGTTTTATGGACTTAATGTATAATGGGAAACATTCATGGTATCAGATATATAGAAATATAAATGTCTGGTGTAATTTTTGGTGTGATTTAGATTGGATGTTGTTACTTTTTTTCCCTGATATACTAGTGAGTGGTTTAGTAGATAATTAGTAGACTATATGAGGTAGACAAGTAATCTGTTTTTATTTTATTTAAGTTTCTCCTGGAAGTCTTCGTATTTACTGAGTTATTAGTAGGCTATATGAGCTAGACAAGTAATCTGTTCTTCTTTTTTTTAAAGGAAGTTTTCGTATTTACTGAGTTTTTAAAACTGAATTTGAACAATTGAACAAACACTAGTTTGGTTATGCTAAAAAGTAAAATTTGCGGTGTGCGTATAAAAAGTCAATAGTTGAACCAAACAGTGCGGATTCTTGCATTAATATTCGCGTTTACTTTTCATCACAATGGTGCAAAAGGTCTTTACGTCCCAAAGAATATTATTCTTTACATTTTTTTTTTATTATTGGCATATCCTCTCATATTTTTATTAGCACATTACCTAACAAATGATCTATATATATATTTTATATATATATTAAATATTTACGTAAAATTATTAATTATATGAAATATAATTGGTTTGCAGTTGATAGAGAAGAACCCGGAGATGGCAATAGTGTGGTTTTGGAAAGCCATTAACACAGGAGACAGAGTAGACAGTGCTCTCAAGGACATGGCTGTTGTAATGAAACAACTTGACCGTTCTGAAGAAGCCATCGAAGCCATTAAATCCTTTCGTCCTCGTTGCTCCAAGAACTCCCAAGATTCCCTCGACAATGTCCTTATCGACTTATACAAGGTCTTACTATAACCATACATATATCAACTTGCACTCTAAATGCAATTATAACCAACATAAACTATATATACGTTTAAGAGATTAGTCTTAAATTATTAATACTAATCTGTTACCATAGCACTCACATGGTGTTTTCTCTTTTGAATAGAAATGTGGGAAAATGGAGGAACAAGTTGAGTTGTTGAAGAGGAAACTAAGGCAGATCTATCAAGGAGAGGCTTTCAACGGTAAACCCACCAAGACCGCTCGATCCCACGGCAAAAAGTTTCAAGTGACCGTTCAACAAGAGATCTCAAGATTACTGGTAATTAATGCTCCTAATTTGTGTATTGCTTATTATTATTATTATTATTATTATTATTCTTTACCGACCGGTTTAACTGTAATAAATATACAGGGAAACTTGGGGTGGGCATATATGCAACAAGCCAAGTATCTGTCGGCAGAAGCGGTATACAGAAAAGCTCGTATGGTGGAGCCAGACGCTAACAAATCTTGCAACCTTGCAATGTGCCTTATCAAACAAGGCAGGTTTGAGGAAGGAAGAACGGTTCTTGACGATGTTCTCGAGTCTAGGGTTTCGGGTGCTGATGATTGTAGAACAAGGCAACGAGCTGATGAGCTCCTGAGTGAGCTAGAGGCCTCGCTGCCACGTAGGCGAGATGCTGAGATGGAGGATGTATTGGGGAATATCTTAGACGATGACTTTGTTCTTGGGCTTGAACAGATGACGACCAGTAGTTTTAGATCTAAGAGATTGCCTATCTTCGAGCAGATCTCTTCCTTTAGAAACCAACTAGTTTGCTAATGATTTGTGTTTCGTAAATGTATCATATATTTCGTGTTTCATAGAAAATATGTGGCATCTTTTCTTGCGTAAATTTTTGTATATACACCAATAATAATGTCCCGTTGAGGACTTTTAGTTGCTTTACGGTTGTTGTTAGTGGTTGAGTGTTAAGACTTGAGACTCTAAGAGCATGTGCAATGCTGTTCTCATAAAAGAGTCCTTAGGGAGTATTTTAGTATTTTTTTTATTTATTGAATAGCTAAGGATTCTTAGCAAAATAAGTAGTCCAATGGTGGATTACTTCTAGGAGTCCTTAGGAAAAAAAAGTTTTTTTTTAATTAAACATAAGCCTTATTAGTTTATAAAAGTATTGGGAAATTCATGCAGGGATTGAGAGATAAATGAAACACTTTTTTATCAAAAAATTTGTGATGTATAGGTCAGAGACCATCTTACCTAGTCGTCTTCTTCTTTTCACTTATATTTGTGCCAGCATGAATGAGATATTGATGTCAGCGACCGCGAAAGGATATTCCCACTCAGCTCTGGTTTCATCTTGTTTATGTAACAATCTTTGGAATGATTCCTATCATGAGATTAAAAGCAGAGAACTCTTGTTAGATACGTTGTGGCATCAAAGATATATATGTGAATAGAAGAAGCATCACAAACCGGATAGGTCTTTCATTTAATCAAGTACACTCCTCTTAACCATATCATTTGATATATGATGTTCATAAGGTAGGATGAAAGCTTTGAAAATACCTGCAGCATGCTAAGAGGTGGTGGCAAAATCTTTCCACCAGAGCTTTGAATATACCTGCAACATGCTAACGTTATTCACTGTTTCTCAGCATTTAATTCATCGAGCTCAGGAAGTGGACGTATGTCTCTCTAACAAACACAATAAATATCCATTTCCTATACACTTACATCCACTAAGCTTGATAACGTTCTGTTATATCCAGGTACAAAGAGCATAAAGCCATATGACAAATGGGAGATAGTTACATGTCCATTGTGCAGCTATACATTTTACTTCTCCTTGTACGTGTGAATCACTTTCACAAGCTAAAGAGATTACAAGTCCAGAAGTAAAGAAAAGTTGATGAAGAGAATCAAAGACATCAAAGCTTAGCTTATTTCATATATATACAAACACACAAAAGAATCCAATTGTTGCAGATGCTACTCAAAAAAAGCCTATGTTGTTGAATCTGTACCTGCCAAACTATTAGGATTGTCTCTTGACTGCTGCACAACCACACAGTTTTTGTCAAAACAGTATCTACAGCAAAAACAACAACAAATTTATGAGACAGAAGCGTGAGAGATACTACCCTGTGAACAAAATACTGAGAAATGGAACCAGCAGTAGCATAAGCTGGTGCCAACTTTCCAAGCTTTTCCTCCAAACCCGTAGCTGTAACCTGTAAAACAAAAAAAAAACCTATTAAGAAATATCCATTTCACTTTTAAGAGTCTCCAAAACCAATCAAAACAAAACCTCCAACGCTTCCTTAGACCAACAATGTTTCTTAATATCCATCAAATTCATCCCAGCACCATCAGTTTCATCAATGGAAGCATAATCTCCAATCAACAAAGACGCCATACACGAGCTAACAACCGAAATCCTCTCAGTCCCCGCATACAAATCAGCCTCAGTACTAAAAAGCCTCCTAATCTGAGGGCCAGTGTAGCGCTCGTAAGCACGTGAACCAGTGATCTCAGACAACACTACGCCCCCTCCCACAACATTCTCAATCTCTTTACATTGCACAATTGTACTACTATCCATCCAAATCAGAGATTACTTGACAGAGAAAGCATTCTGGAGTTGATCTTTTAAGGATTTGTTGGGATCCAAAGATGTTAAAATCTGGGAGCTTCCCTTTTGCCAGAAGACGTTGTCGTGCTGCTGGCCGCTTCCAGAGAAGGCGATGACTTTCTTGAAATCAAAATTGGTTGAGGAGAGTTTGTGGAGGATGAGATTGAGGGCCTCAACCCACATGATGGTAGGGGAGACGATTCTGCCGTTGACGGTCAGGTCTCTGTAAACGCCATCTTTGGTTTTGTAGCGGGGAAGGTCGGAATCGAAGTGAACGAGTTCGGTCGTGACGATGTTGAGGGATGACTCCAGCGAAATCCGTATCAATTGTACCTGCCACGTCAACAAGGACCATCTCAATTTAATCCTTAGCTAAGGATGAATCCCTAGCTTTTCTTAGTTTTATATTGATATTATATTCCATTAAGCTAAGGATTATGTCCTAAGGATTCTTTTTTTTCACCGTTGCACATGGTCTAAAGGATCAAGGCAGATGCCAAAAGATAAACGCCATAAACGTTACCAAATATTTAATACCAAATATTTATTGATGTTAGTGGTTGAGTGTTTTTGGTTCCATTGTAGTACGACATGAAGAAGTTCTAATAAATCTCTTAAGAGTTAAAAAAAAACAGATATATAAACGTTACCAAATATTTAATATCTAATATAGTTTACCCATATTGGTTATATCCACTCAAAACCTTTTAAAAGAAAATTATTGAAAGGGTTTCAGTTACATACAAACACAGTATTAGCTAACAGATTCGTGGACTTAGATTCAGTAAGAATGATTAAGTAGAATATTGCAGCTTGTATAAGAGTGAAATTCATCTGTTAACTAATGTTTATCGGGACGATAGTTAAAACTTAAATCATATCAACAGGTTCAAGAGCATCTTCAACTTTAGCATCTCATTTGGGATGCTTAATTTTTTCTCTGTCTTATTTTAAAAAATATAAAAATTATTGCGGATTATCACGTCACGTATTAGTAGAGCTTACGAATAGTACAAATAATTAGACATTTGGAATGCTTAATTTTAATTTTTAATTTGGGATGCTAGGACGTTCACAAGTCTTTAGGCACAAAGTTTTAATTTTTTTTTATTTCTTTTGTTCGAAAAACATTCACGAATTGTTAAAGACTCTCCACAAACGTTTGTTAATTAAGGGACATTTGACTTCGGTTTTACAAAAATGTGGGACCCCAACACCTAAAAAATGATCTAAGAGCTGCCGATAATGTTGGTCTAAGCACCTCCGTTTAAGCAGCTCCTTAGAGTACCATTAACAGGAGCGCTTAATGGAATGCTTAATGAATTTTTGATTTAAAAAAAGGAAAAAAAAAAGAAAATAAGAGAAGCAGCGCTGCTTAATTAAGCTTCAGAAGCAGGGTTTCTTAGTGGACACGTGTCTGCTCCTTCTTCCTCTTTTCCGGGTTATTCTTCCTTGTTCTAAACGGAGATGGCGTTTTCTGGATTGGAGAACCGAATCACGGAAGTAGATGGTCTTGTCAAAGCCACGGCTCGTACGAATCCGAAGACTCTGTTTCAGAAGCTTCCCAAAATCCGTCTCAGAGGGTGAAGAAGAAGAAGAAGATAACTCCCCAGATTTGCTTGTAACTAATAAAGTAAGACAACGACAAAGAAAAGACACACAATATCGGAGGCTTCTCCTCTCGTCGGGAGAGAACATCGAATCATGTGGGAATCAATATGCATGACGCTTACGGCCACCGCCAATAAGTATCATCCTCCCTCCTCTCTTCCTCAAGCTCAAGGTCCTTTCTCTCTTCCTCTCCCTCATGCTCTGCCTTTCGATTGCATGCTATTTCTGATTCTCAATTTGACTGATCTATATTTGGGAAATTTGATTTCAAGATAAAAATCTTGTCTTTTAGGTAAATTCAATTCGGAGTCAAACTTACGTTTTTGCAAGTATTGCGATTTTGGGTTGCTTTATTCCATAACAATTTGATCCATATGGTGACTTAAACGGGATGATGATCTCTTTTCTATGGAAAAGGTCACATTTTTATGATCAATTTGTGGGTATTTTCCAGGTGATAAAAGCATATGCTGCTAACAAACCTTGGGCGTTAGGTTTATCTCAAGGAAGTTATGAATGCCTTTGACTGGATTGGGATTACTGGCGCTGACATTGGCACCATAGGTAACATTTTGAGAAGATATGATAGTAGTAGAGAAAATTCAACTGTTATGATCAGAGAGTTGTTGTATCATCGTAATTATCTATGTGACATGTTTCAATTCTTAGGTTGAAAGACTGTTTTATGTTAGTAGTTTTAGGAGTTGGCTTTGGTGATTCGTAACCAGGTTGAATGCTTCTTTGAAGTTCTCTCAGATGCTAGTGTTACAGCTCTTGCGTTTGTGACTTTGTGGTCTCTTGTTTCTTATACATCCAGCGTTTGTGGTTTGTTTTCTTACCTTGTTTGGTTGTGTTGATTGACTGATACAGAGGCTATTAGGTTTGTGTATTAGAAGAGACATCGTTTTTGGTAATCAATTTTACAACAGTTCAGGGTATGCTTAAGTGATCTTATGAACATAGTTCTGTTGAACTTAACTCTTTCTTTCAATGCTAGAATTTTGGTACCAAAAGGTTTGTATGTAGACCTATGCTCATTCTCACCAAACCTTTTCATCATTCTCACCAAAATTTAAGAACCCCCACAATAAGCAACTTGCATTGGAGATAAAAAAATTGAAAACTCTTAACTAAAGTGCTTAAGACACATTTATTACTAAAAAAAGGATTAAGCAACTCATTAGAAGTGCTTGGGTTGATGATGCTCTTAGATTAAATTTATAGTCAAATCAAGCTTGGTTCAAAGTTAACTGTACTGAACCGGTTCAAAATCAACTCTACTGAACCGATTCAAAGTTAAAAGCTGTCAAACCGGGATACCTTTTGGTCAAACCGGAATACTTGGTTTTGTTTTGGTTTCGTGTTACAGAGAATACGAGCCATACCGGAAAAAGAAAAAGATTACTCCATTTTTATCTGCTCGGGAACAGCGACAACAAAACACATTAAACAGACATCGAGTTCTGTCTGAATCTCCCCCAAAACCCGTTAATCACTTCAGTCTAGACGATCGAGATCCTCCAAAACAATGGAAACCAGAGAACCAGAGGTTATCAGAGACAAAGAAGCAATGAGAAGATGGTCAAGAAGCATGAGATCGCAAGGCAAGACCATCGGCTTAGTCCCCACGATGGGTTTCCTCCACGAAGGCCACTTATCCCTCGTCCGTCAATCCCTCACCCTCTCCCACGTCACCGTCGTCTCAATCTACGTCAACCCTGGCCAGTTCTCCCCCACCGAGGACCTCTCTACTTACCCTTCTGATTTCTCCGGCGATCTCGCAAAACTCTCCGCCGTTTCCTCCTCCGGTTCCGGCGTAATCGTCGTGTTCAACCCGAGAAACCTCTACGACTACGACGACGGGAGGAAGAAGGAGACAAGCGGCGGCGATGGTGGAGGTGGGAAGGTGGTGAGTTGTGTGGAGGAAGGTGGGTTAGGGCACGAGACGTGGGTTAGAGTTGAGAGGTTGGAGAAAGGTTTGTGTGGGAAGAGTAGGCCTGTTTTTTTTAGAGGTGTTGCCACTATTGTTACTAAGCTTTTTAATATTGTTGAGCCTGATGTTGCTATGTTTGGTAAAAAGGATTATCAGCAATGGAGGCTTATCAAGAGAATGGTGAGAATAGTCTTTTACAAGAGTATTTTGTGAATTTGAATGTACTTCTTGATTTGTTTTAGATTGAGTTTACAGGTTCGAGATCTTGATTTTGGGATTGAGATAGTGGGGTCAGATATAGCTAGAGAAAAAGATGGGCTTGCTATGAGTTCTAGGAATGTTCATCTTTCAAGTGAAGAAAGGCAAAGGGTATAGTTGATAAATCCCATGTTTTTTTCTTCAGTTTGAACAAACTTCACAATATATTGCTTCCACTTTGCTGATTGAACGGCTCTGCTTTGTGTTATGATGTGGTAGGCGTTGTCTATAAGTAGATCACTAGCCATGGCTAAAGCTTATGCAGAACAAGGGCAAACCAGTTGTTCAAAGCTTAAGGATATGATAATTTCAGAGATTGTTGGAGCTGCAGGAAAAATCGATTATGTCGAGGTAAGCATCATATCATAAAGGAACATAGTTTTAAAGTTTATTGGATGTTGAACACAATACCATTCAGGGTTTTGATGTGAATAATGATTGTGTGTACACAACATGCAGATTGTTGATCAAGAAACTCTGGAAGGAGTGGAAGAGATAAAGAGTGGAGTAGTGATTTGTGTTGCTACTTGGTTTGGATCGGTTAGGCTCATAGACAATATTGAGATCAATGTCACAGTCTAGTTCCCATTTTCCGCATTAAATTTTATCAAGTTGACAAAAACTTGGAAGCTTGATTGACAATTATGCATATCTGAAGCCTTGGGGAGAATCAACTTAAACTATCAGCTTTGCAATATTTGTGTCACACGTCTCCATATCAAAACCTGAGTGTGTTGGAGTTTTGATTTTAAACTAATTTTTTTTTTTTGTTATACTATACAAGTTGTTCACGCTTACATGATCTATCTACAACGTTAAACCATGAGTTACCGAATGAATGAGAATCCACCATTGTAAAAACCTTGTCGATGCCAATCACTTTGACAAGTTCCTTGTATAAGAAACAAGAAGGGTCTGCTCAGGTAGACTGAGTGTAAAAATTTTAAAAAAAAAGAGAGTCAAAAAAAAAATTGGGTTTAGATCCACCCGAAGGTGGAAAGCCTTAACCGGATGTGTTCAGGACCCGAAGGTCAATCCCGTCTCTGTCAGAGGAGATGCCAACCATCTCTCCTTTCTACGAACACATCTGATTCTCCTTCTCTTCATACATATATACTCAAACTAATAGAACTTAACAACCGATGTGGGACGAAAGAGCGTTCCAAATAAAAAAATAATTATGGGTGAGAGAGGCTCGACCTCAAGATTACTCAAATAGCTATGACGCGCTAGCCAACTGCGCCACCACCCCTTTTGTTTGTTACGACTGTATCTATAAGTTTGTTTTGATACTGATACTGGATTCAAACCTCAAACTGAATGTCGTTGATACAAAACTTTATTCTCTGCTTAAGCTAAAATGGTTTCTGGAATTTTATTTTGATTTCAATCTCTTTTTTCTTGTCTCCTTGTGATGTAGAGATTTGACTTTGGGTTATCTCCTTGCAGCGTGATTAGGCATGTTTTAAGTCGTAAGTTTCTAAGGTTTTTTATTACCAATGGTTGGACATGTTGTGTCTCTCCATCATTATGCATTCATCTATTTATTTCTGAGGTGGTTCACTCTACTAAAAGAAGCTGTATCTCCATGAATCCTCATGTAAAGATTGTCCAAAGGTTTTTGATCATATTGTTCTCTTTTCTATTAGCTTACTACAAAGCTACTCTGTTCTTGGCCATAAGTCTGATGTCTTTTCGTAGGAAACATTTTGGGAGTTGCAGCATCACATGTAAACCGTCAGGGGAAGCTCGCAAACGTTATGTTTCTACTATCTTGAATCTTGGAGGTTATTTGTCTCGTGGAGAGTCTTCTTGTAAATGTACTTGCTACTTGGCATATCTGGCAGAGTTTGATGCTGTTGCTGGTTCCCGTTGGGTCCCTATAGGTGACAAAGTTCTCCTTATGGCTGGTATTTTCCTCACATATATGGCTGGAGTGATTCCTCTTCAAAACTCTGGTTACTCATCCACAAAGAAAACTGTGGAGGAGAATCCAGATGTTGGAACTTCAGAATCTTCTGGTAGGTATGTTTTCAATGAGAATGATGTCATTATTCCATTTCACTTTACGGTGCCAGCTTAGCTGTATAGTATCATCATCAATACAGCAAAACAGTTGTGCATTCACACAGACACTTTGTTCTTTACTCTTGGCTTTAGGGACACAGATTCTGAGGGTGATTTGAAGTCTGTATTGGATGTGGTGAAAGGAAACCTTTTAGATTCTTTAGACGCCATTAAGCGTGAGAGTACACTTGGAAGAAGAGTTCTGAAAGCCAAACCGCCTCAAGGGAAGCTCCCACTGAGCTTGTATGCAAATATCTGAAGGGCCACAGCTGTACTTGCTCGATCTGGTCATGTTTTCAGAAACTTGAAGAGGAGGTCAGCTTACATCTGCTTTCTTCAGTATTTCAGTTTGAGCATATTTGGTTTTGTAGACGTTACAGTGATTTATACTTCAGGGGCATATCATCATTATAAAAGTAGTGTATCAACAAAAAGCAGCATTTCCGCTTTGAGCCAAGTAATTGCATCAATGTCCGTGTTCTAGCATAGAAGATACTAGTTGTATGTCAAAACGCTGAAACACACAAACCTGCTGTTAATTAATATTAGGTGAAGATTTGAATCAAACTTCACTTGGCAAAAACTTACTGACTCATTTAATTATTCTTCTTTGCTAGTAGCAAGATCTGCTAGTTTCTTCCCTTAGTAACAACCGAGACACTAGTTTACCCTGCTTCTCCATACCTTGTGATCAGCTATTGTATTTGCTCTGCAGACAAATAAGATATCTAACACAATCAATACGGATGACTGGATGATTAGTTTTACTGATATTGTCCGTGAAGCATATCAAGGAGCAGGCAGGGCTTGGCTAACAAGGGAACTGTCTGTGAAAAGCACTGATTCTGGATGGTAAAAACCTCTCTCTCTTTTTTTACCTCGGTCACAAGACTGGAAGTGCATTGAGATTTTACATGAGAAAGTGTTTGATGTGTGGAAAATTTATATATCCAGTGCCATATAAAAAGAAGAAAAAGAAAAGGTAAAAGCTTCGTCTAGAATAGAGCTAAACTTTGGGACTACGTGTGTTCGACATTGCATGTGATTGTAAATGAAAGTTTAGTAACTATGGTGTTAATTAAATGCCTCGAGAGGGGGTTAGTCTAAATATAGTGACCTATGATGTACTAAGGTTCATAATGCTTCTTGGTCTTTACTTCATTGTGTAGTAAAAAGTGTCTTCACTCTTACTAGATTTGGATTAAACAAACTACACATGAGTTATTTATCCATTCCCCACCATTATTTTATCTTAATTATTTGTCATATATATATATATATATGACAAATGTTTAATGATTTTAACATGAAAAACATGGTGAACAGTGTACCATACACAAGTTTGTCAATCATATGTGAACCATTTTTTCTTAATTTTATTATAAGCCATTCTAGTGCGATTATACAATATGATATACTATTAAAAAGTGATAATTTATATTTTAGATATAAAATATTTTTTGAACAACAATAACAAAATTCTTAGAGTCTGAATGGATGGTGTTTTAGAGCAAATATTTACTCCAAATGTCAATTTACTCTACATCCTACTATAAATTTGGCAATCAAGTGGAATATAGAATTTTATTTACCCTACATCCAACTATAAATTTGGCAATCAAGTGGAATATAAATTTTCAAACAATTACTCTAATTACTATTTAAAAGGAGAAAACTACACACTCAATTTAACTCTGTTTTCTCCTACAATAAACACTTTTTGCTCAAGTAAATTGACATTTCCACTATAAATTTTCCATTCTTTTCACCTTTTTCTTATACTCCATTTCACTCCAATAAATCCAATCACAACCTTAAAATGCTATGTATAAAAGTTACAGGTGAAAAAACTAGTAAATTTTATGCTATAGCAGGACAAAAGAAACCTATTTATTAAAAAAGGTCTCCAAGAATAATAATGATGAACGTGTGGGGTCTAAATATAATTTACCCAAAATAAAAAAGGGTTAACCTTTTCCTCATTTTCTTTAAATTAACCCCACAAAACTCGAAAAACCATTTTCCCAATTCTTTTTTTTCTCGCCTCGCTTCCCTCCTCGAAGCCTTTTCCCTCCCATTCCCTCTTTCCCGCTTTCTCCCTAAGCTCCTCCCCCTCCCGCAAACTCAAGCTCCTGTCATGGGCAAATACATGAAGAAATCGAAGGTCACCAACGATACGGAACCCACGGAGCCAACTTCTTTGGGCGTTCGCACCAGAGCCGCCAAAACCCTAGCTTTGAAGAGGCTCAATTCCTCCGCCTCTGATCCCGCTTTAGCGGCAGACTCTTCTTGCTACCTTCAGCTCCGAAGCCGCCGTCTGGAGAAGCCAGTGGCGTTGACGGAGCCGAAACAGGGGACGAGGATTAAAGAGTCTGGTGGCTCGAAGGGTCCGGTTAACTCCGGTTCGGGTTCGGTTCGTGTAGCTCAGAGCTGTGACGGAGATGAAGGGGTTGGAAAGTTTGAAGCTTTTGTTGGAGAGAATAGTCTTGATTTTGAATCGAGACAAAGGTTCGTTCTTTTTTTTGTGCCCTAGATTTTGTTCTTCTTCTTACCGATTCGATGAAACCCAATTTGGATTTTTTGTTTGTCTTGTTAAAAAATGTTTGTTTGAATTAAGACACGAGTTGTGTTTTGTGTTATAGCTTCTTTTGCCTAAACTGTGAAGAGCGTTAGGCTTCTCTGAAACTTTTGTTGTTTGCTCAAATCAATTTTTTTAATTATTATTGGGATGAAAATAGCTTTAGTACGACTAGAAATAAATGTTTTTTATTTATTTATCAAGTTTACCTGATTGGTTTGATTTTAACATGTACGGGTGTTATTATTACTGCTCACTCTGGTCTCTTTGGTGTTAGATTAGACATTTCAGAGTTATTGTTGTCTGTCTCAAGTGTACCACATTGCAGAGGCTAACAATGTAACAAAGCTATTTTCTTTTTGTATAAATGAATCATATTTATATCTAAGTTGGTGAAAAATATGATCCCCTTTTGTGCATATTAGTTTGAGTCCTTTTGTTGATGAGCTAAAGACATTGGAAGTGATATGAATAAGGGTTTAGAGATGAATTCACTGTAAATTTTTTAACAAATGTTTTTTTTTTACTAAAGCGGTTGTTGTGTAATTGTCAGAAGCTTTTAATATGTAAGATCATATGAAAAAAAAAATTGAGAGTTTCCTCATAAGTGTAGTAGTGCAAGTACTATAGTGTGGTGTCATGTTCATGGGACCTAGTGGGTTTTTACAAACTTGGGGAATACTTTTGTAGGATTCTCTGTTTTTTGGGCAACTTCTCCCAGTAGAGGACAATGGTCTTTTCCTTTCTCTTTGTTATTTATTGCATAGCGTATCCCATGGGACCATAAACTCATTAAAGTCTAGCTTTTGTTTTTTACTTAAATCAAGTTTCTTTTTTTCTCTGAATGTTCAGTTTTTGATTGTGTGTCTTTCTGGTGGTAATGTTAATTGAATTTTGTAATGGTCTTTCTTTAGCACAAGGGAGAGCACGCCTTGTAACTTTGTTGGGGATGTGGAGATCAATGTTACACCAGGGTCTAGCACAAAGACGATGCGCACAGCAGCCACTGATTACACAAGGGACAGAGATAGCTTGGTCCCATCCGCTGGTGAACTGGAGGAGTTCTTTGCGTATGCAGAGCAGGAACAGCAGAGGCTGTTCATGGAGAAGTAAGGATGTTGTTATTTTCTGTTTTTTTTTGTTGCATTAAGAGAGGATGAATGAACACTCATGTGTGTTCCAAAAAAATTTCAGGTACAACTTCGACATTGTGAATGATGTGCCCCTCACTGGACGCTACGAGTGGGTGCAAGTCAGTCCATGAAGTGCCAAGGAAAGCAAGCTCCAGTTATATGGTGTGGAAGTAGGAATGTGATGAATTTAACAGACTAACCGAACATCAAAAATCCTTGAAACAGGAGTGTAATCTTAAGTAATAATGCGGTTAGAAAAACAAATTGAAAGTAGGGTAGGGACCTGAACCTCACACCATTTGTACTAATATCTTTGAGTATTTTAGATGCTTAATGAATGTGTTTCCTTATTTGTTTCTGTTGAGTCTTTTTCTGTCATGTTTGTTTATTCAAAGTTTTCTGCATATGGTGATGATGATTGATTGGGACGTGTGTAAGCATGTTGAAGCTTGGCATATAGTGAGAAAAATGATCTAGATGGAGACTTTAAATGGGTTCACGTGTGAACTTGGTAGCTTGGCATTCGTACTAATATATATTCTTGCTTCAACTACACACATATAATGGTCCCTCTTTGATCTCTTGACATAAATCTCATGATTTACTGCACGTGAATGTGTTATGTGTGTTAATAATTTGAGGTTTAACCTTGATCATTGTGTTAATTTTATTTCAATTGTAATGTGCATGGTGTGAATAATTTGAGATATTACTTGAAGTAGACACCCTAATTATTACAACAGAGTTTATCAGACAGGGACAAAAAGATGAGACAAGAAAATATATTACAGTGTTCATTGAGAAGATCTCTGTGTTATGTGTGTGAATAAATTGAGGTTTAACATTGATCATTGTGTTAATTTTATTTCAATTGTAATGTGCATGGTGTTAATAAATTGAGATATTACTTGAAGTAGACACCCTAATTATTACAACAGAGTTTTATCAGACAGGGACAAAAAGATGAGACAAGAAAATATATTACAGTGTTCATTGAGAAGATCTCTGCTGTTTTAACTTTTTTTTTATAGTCTCTTGGAAATTGGCCAGCACCATGTGATGGAACTGTATAATTTTATCTCGAAACCAATCATTGTTGTTTGTTTTGTGTAATCACTTGAAGTGAAAAGAAGTGAATAGGATTAAAAGTGAATGTACCAAAAGTTAAAGCATACGTAACGTACATACCTGCATAGATACATACACAGAAATGGTGATGTACACACACACGGGGTGTTGTTAGATCACGGGGCTCGCTGACTATTACGAATCATGTTTTGGGACATTTAGATTCGCTTTCGTCATATCTTTAACCAATGCACACTTGGGGGTATCTGTGTTCAGTTTATTCAATGTTTTGTTTGACCCTTTTGCTAGAAAAATGCCAAAAAGATGTTAGCACTCACTACGAAAGCCTTTTGTCTTTTCTTTGTTTTTTTCTCACACTCCATTTTGCTCCGTGGCTTCATCCTTCTGAACACACCATAGGCCTTAGCTCATAGGCATGTTAATGTGAGCCTAAGGACCGTTTAAGAGGGGCCGCACATGAGAGAAAAACAGAATTGTGTCATATTTAACCTTCAAAATTTAAATAGTTTAATACGTACAAATAATTATAGAAATATATATATATATATAAATAATTATGCTTTTAAATCATTAAATATATATACATATGTATGTATGGATTGTCACACTCCTAGGGAGCCGTCAGTTATTCCATCCGTTTCAATTTATTTGTCATTCTAGGTTTTTACATACAGATTAAATAAACATTTAATTTTATACATTTTCAATATAAAAACACAATTACCAATACACCTAACCACTTTTCAACCAATAGAAAAATAATTTTTTCCTCTAGAATGACATCTAATTCGAAATGGAGGGAATATGTCTTTAGCTTCATGAATCTCAAGATCATCCTTGACCGTACTAAATAGCAGAATGAATAACTTGTATCGTGTGATTTCAATTCTTTTATTTGCTGATCTAACTCGTCTTTTAAAAATACACTGCAAAAAAATCAATATCCTAAATACTTTTATCTCCTATCACCTATCCATTAATCAAAATAATATTTCCAAGTGTTTTTACTTTTGTTCATGCTTTTCCACTACTAAATTAGACGCCACCTTCATACTCATTTTTTTAAAACAACAAGTTTATGAGATGCTTGCATAGGTATTTTTTTCCCTTATTTACTTTGTTCAAGTAGCATATTTCAATTATCAAATTTTATTTGGTTTAGAAAATACTGTAGCTCGAATGTAATTTTCAACTCACCGAACAGGGTCAGGGAAAAATTCCAGCTCGATTGGGCTAAGCTTTGAGCTTAGTGAACAAGGCCGGTCCAAGTGAGATGTCTTGGATCACTTGAATCTATTTTACTACAAAAGCAAAAATAAATGATGTGATGCATAGGATGCTTTGTATGTTTGGTATGTGTTTTTATAGCCCACAAAAAAAATTAAAATAAAAAAAGTGAGAGAAGACCCAAACAAACAATAATGACAATCAAAGCGTTAAATGCAGGAAGCAATCAAAAGCGCGTGCAAGCAGACAGATGATGCGTTGATAAAGGATCTTCTTTCGTCCCTTGTCTCTTTTTGTTTTATCCTTCTAACCCCCATTAGTTTTTTTTTCACAAGTTGACCCCTCTACATTGTTTGTGACTTTTGTGTGCATTTTACACAGTACTTAAACAACTTAGGGTTATTTTTTCTTTTTGTAAACTCAAGGAAAGAAAACCTTTTATGTTATTGTTTGCGTCTGTATCTTACCAAAAAAAAAACGAATAGTAAAAATGTGAATGTTTTTTTTCTCTTGTGTAAATGCACACCATATATTACTTTTGAAACAAACAAGTTTCATGAAACGATGGACAGACCATGCTATTGTTTGGTTTGCACTTTGCAGGAGTAGTATGCCGTGGAGTAACACATAAAAAGGTTAAAATGCAATTTATATTTACATCCAATCAATAATTAATGCAATTTATGTTAAAAGTCATATTATGAAAGTAAATATTTCAGTTAGAATGTTTTAAAACCAACACACAAAACAAAACGCAATATTGAATATTGATCAAGTTTTGGCAGTGCTAAAGAATGATTTGACTTGTTAGTAATAGTAGTTTATAAAAAGGACTATGCTTTTGTTTGTATCTAAAAGCACTAATCAAAACCAAAAATAAATAATGGAGGTGGAGAAGACATCATACTCACATAATCATATCCGCTTCCTTAGCTTTTGCTACTAAAATAATCAATCCTTTAATTAAACCTCTTAGACCCACCTATCATGGGTAATATTTTGATGCTCAATAAATTACAGGATTTCTCATTATCATTTGGTTAGGTAAATATAAAACAGTTATTAAAAGTTCAATGTATATATTTTGTTACAGTCGTGGAACAACGAACGTAATGGTAATCTTGTAAAGTTTCTCCTTTGTGAACATGTATTTGCATTAGGCGTTCTTGAAAAAGATTTAATAAGCATGTGAACGTGAAATAAGTAGTGAAGAACGTGATTAGGGCCCTACTTGATTCAAGCAATAACACTATTCGACATCACACGCAAGACGTAGCACAGCCCAAGCACCAGAACATCAATTTGTCTGATTTAGATTTTAGAATAATATTTCGTTACTGTAGAGGGGGCGAGTGTGACTTTAATAGCAAGTCTTTTTCGAAATATTAAATTTACGAATCAATCATTTACAATATTTGAGAAGAGATGTATGACTCATACAGTATTGACTTGACATGAATATTGTGTCGAATAATGAATAGGTTAATTCCAAGGAATGGGAGGACGAGTCTTTGTCTGGAACTGTCCACATGAATATGTGAAAGCACCTACTTATATATCAAACAAAATCTAATAAATTATATGAAATAATAGACATACGAGTGTTAAAAACATACTATTACAGACTGAAAGCTGTAGTAATATGTTTCTTCACAGTTTAGAGAAAGTTCATAAACACAGACAATGTATGATCGAATTCATCTAGCCTTCTTGATGATTATGTAAAATACACTTCATACTACTATTGTAATATTCTTTCTAACCCGTAAGAGAAAAATGATGACAAAAGACAAAGCAAACCAAAAAGAGGTTTTTAGATTGTAATAATTTTTTTTTTCTGCTTTAACTTTTCCCACTCTGCAAATCATTTTCCCTTTGGATTTAAGCCTTTTGACACTTTTTCTCTTTTTTCTCACACCTTTATCAGTATGTTTTTCTTCTTTTTGCTCATATGTTTCTATTCCAACTGTGCATAGAATCTTTTTGATATCCCTAATAAAACGGACCTTAATTCACGTTTGACAATGTTGCTTGAAAAAGGATTTGTTCTTGACATTTCAAAGGAGGGAGAAAAAAAAAACTATGAAGGGACAAGAACAGGGGACCCCAACTAGCTAGACAAAGACAAAAACTATGGATTTGAAGAAACATGACCAGATGTTATGATTAATACTCATTCAACACTACCATTACCCATCATTCTCTCTCTCTCTCTCTGGTTTTGGAAATTTAACCATCACCAAGCTACTCCACTTAATTGGTTTCTTCTGCATCTTTATCTGGTTCTTGAACATAATTATCCTTCATGGACAAGCATCACAACCATCTTCTGCTACAGCATCATCAACATCTCCATCATCACCAGAAACTCTCCCTTGCTAAATCTTCTAGGCAAAGCTTTAGTGAATGGTATCTTCTGTTCTCTCCTCTTGATCAGTTTTGTTACCAGTTGAAAACACATAAATACAATTCTTTCTATTGATGTTTTTTCCTGCAACTTTACAGGATCTATCGAGACGTTCCAAGTGATATAACCATTGAAGTAAACGGAGGAAACTTTGCTCTTCACAAGGTATATTCATACTTATAAAACATAACAGTACCTTCTCTCATAAGCTATGGAGTTTTGTTGAGCCAATGTTTTGATTCTCCATTTCTCAGTTCCCTTTAGTCTCAAGAAGTGGAAGAATCAGGAGAGTCGTTGCAGAACACAGAGATCCACATATCTCCAAAGTGGAGCTTCTCAATCTCCCTGGAGGAGCAGAGACATTCGAACTAGCAGTCAAGTTCTGCTACGGGACCAACTTCGAGATCACTTCATCAAACGTTGCGCAGCTCCTTTGCGTCTCTGATTACCTCGAGATGACAGAAGAGTATTCCAAAGACAACTTGGCTTCAAGAGCCGAGGAGTATCTCGACAGCATTGTATGCAAAAGCCTCGAGATGTGTGTAGAAGTCTTGAAACAGTCAGAGAATCTTCTCCCTCTTGCAGACGAACTCAACATCGTAACTAGATGCATAGACGCCATTGCCTCAAAGGCCTGCGCTGAGCAGATCGCTTCAAGCTTCTCAAGGTTGGAGTATAGTAGCTCAGGGAGGCTTCACATGAGCAAGCAAGCTAAAGGTAACGATGGTGGAGACTGGTGGATTGAGGATCTTTCTGTTCTTAGGATTGATTTGTATCAGAGAGTGATGAACGCTATGAAGTGCCGTGGCGTCCGTCCAGAGAGTATAGGAGCTTCTTTGGTGAGTTACGCAGAGAGAGAGCTGACAAAGACAGGACATCATGAACATGAACAAGCCATTGTTGAGACAATCGTTGCTCTTCTACCTGTTGAAAAACTCGTTGTCCCCATAAGTTTCCTCTTCGGGTTACTTAGAAGAGCAGTGATGCTTGATGCTTCAGTTTCATGCAGGCTTGACCTAGAGAGGAGGATCGGTTCTCAGCTTGATATGGCGACTCTTGATGATCTCTTGATCCCTTCTTTTCGTCACGCAGGAGACACTTTGTTTGAGATTGACACGGTTTACAGAATCTTGGTGAATTTTTCACAGCAAGGAGGAGATGATAGTGAGGATGAAGAGTCTGTGTTTGAATGTGATAGTCCACATTCTCCTTCACAAAGCGCCATGTTTAAAGTTGCAAAGCTTGTAGATAGCTATCTCGCTGAGATTGCTCCTGATGCTAACCTTGACCTTCCCAAGTTCTTGCTCATTGCAGAAGCCTTACCACTTCATGCTCGTACCCTTCATGATGGCTTGTACCGTGCCATTGATCTCTATCTTAAGGTAGCTTAACAGTTTTGCTTTTCTCGTCTTGTTGATACTTAACGCTCTTCGATTCTCAGGCACATCAAGGATTATCAGATTCAGACAAGAAGAAGCTATCAAAACTTATCGACTTCCAGAAACTCTCACAAGAAGCTGGAGCACACGCTGCACAAAACGAGCGGCTTCCTCTGCAATCCATAGTTCAGGTTCTCTACTTTGAGCAGCTTAAGCTCAGAAGCTCCTTGTGCACATCTTACTCAGACGAAGAGACAACAAAGCCAAAGCAGCAGCACCAACAGCAGTCATGGAGAATCAACAGTGGAGCTCTCAGCGCAGCAATGTCGCCAAAAGACAACTACGCCTCTCTAAGGAGAGAAAACAGGGAACTGAAACTGGAGTTAGCTAGGTTGAGGATGAGACTCAACGATCTAGAGAAGGAACACATCTGTATGAAGAGAGATATGCAGAGATCTCATTCACGCAAATTCATGAGCAGTTTCTCAAAAAAAATGGGGAAGCTTAGCTTCTTTGGGAATCACCAGAGTTCATCAAGAGGATCAAGCTCTCCATCAAAGCAGTCTTTCAGAACTGATTCAAAGGTGATGGAGAGAACTTGCGCAAGCATGGATTAACTCACACCACTTTCTATCATTTTTCTTTCTCTTCTCTTCTCTTACCTGTTGCTGTGTTTTTTTTTTTAAAAGTGAGTGCTAAGACTATAAGCTGCTTGTAAATGGATTTGATTGATAAAAACACAAACAAAGGTCTCTTACTCTTACACAATATCCAGTAGATTGCAAAAGAGAATAATAATAATAATAATAAAATCTGAAGTCTTAAACAAGACAGGGCAAAGAGTGAACACACTCAAAAGAACACAAGAACGAGTTCTTCCTCCTCCTCAAGAAGAAGAAGGAGTCTTGGTGTAAGAACGGATACCGAGAGCCAAGCCTAAGATGAGGAGAGGAACAAGGAACTGAAGAACCTTAATGAAAAAATCCGAGCTCTGGTTAGACTGAGTCTGGTTTGGAGTAGGAGGAACAAACTTGGTTTTGGTTGGGACAGTGGCTGAGTCAATATCACCGACGTAGTACTCATCAAGCATGGCTTTTGCAGTGGAGCTGTGTCCCACATCCTCAAAATCATCCGTCGCGTCTTTCCCTGAAGACCAAAGACATTGTTGAGAAGATAAGGGAAGTGCATAACCAGAAAAAAACTAACAAACCAAGAACGATGTGTTTGTTACCTGTAGAGGTTAAGATGACCTCGTCACCACCAGGATGGTCGTCCAAGAACTTGGTGACATCATAAACCTAATATACAATTCAAAATCAAAAACAATTAACTTAATCTATCATCACTAGTTACTTCTAAGGCAGTATCAACTATCAACAGTCACATTCAATTAAGAACCTATATTCAATTATAAACCTATATACAATTAAGAATCTATATTCAATCAAGAACTTGGTCACATCATAAACCTATATTCAATTAAGAACCTAGGAAGAGTATGTATGATTTTAGCAAATCGGATCTAGATTCTCTCGGTGATAAAATAAAATAAAACGTCGAGAAGTAGAGGAGATCTGCGGTTAGAGACGAAATTGAGATCCAGATCGTAGCGAATCTATAGATCAATCAAGAGAGAAAGGAGGGGGGAACCTTGCCGTCGATGACGATCCAGCAATCCTTGTTGCTGGTGTGCTGAGAAACCTCTGCCAAGGTGAACAATTTGCCGTCTCCGCCGCCCATCTCCCTTTGAATTATTGAGATTCTTCAATAGTAGGTTTCTGGTGGAATGTCCAAGGCAAAGATAGTGTGATTGGCTAATAAGATCTGGCGCCTCGCTAATAAATGCTTTTTAATTCGCTAATCATATTTTTTAATTAAATTAAATATTTGTTTCCGTTTATTTTAATCGTTGGTTGATATTTATTTATTTTGTTTATGAGAGCAACATTATTGGAGGTTTCTCTATTTGGGGTTCTAACAATATATATGTGCGTATGTATATATTATATACATATATATAATATATACATACACATATATATATTTTAGAACCCCAAATGGAGAAACCCCCAATAATGTTGCTCTGAGATTCCTTTTTTTTAATACAGTCAACACTGAATAATATTTATAGTGTATTAATATTATTTTACTCAGTTTCCCTCCACAAATAATAATCAGAATAAGATACAATTTCATTTTCTGTGGTTCAGATGTCACCTTCCTCCTTCTCCATCGCATCCACCGTCTCACCGGCTTCTTTTGCCGGAACACTCGTCTCTAACTCTAAGGTACAGCATATATGTTGTTGCCACGTCATCTCCTCTCTCTCTCTCTCTCAGAATGCCTTTTATCTTTCTCTTCTATTGATTAGTGAAGAACCAGTGAACATTGTCTTCTTTAGTTTAATGCCCGTGTCTGTTTGTTTGCTTGTGTAATAATCCTACTTTTATATGTCCTAAAGCATCTTTTAGTTGCAAGACCATTTGTCACACACTGATCATATTGATTGTTCCTACTGATGTGTTCTTTTAAAAAAAAAATAAGTTGACTGTTTCTCCTCGTTTCAATTTGGTGATTGCAGACTGTTCTCGGTGGTAGTATAAATTGGAAGAACAATGATGCCACCAAGACGAATAAGAATCTCAAGTACAGAGTCTGTTCTGTTTCTGGAGAGTCTAACACATCTGTGGAGAATGTACCTTTTCCTCGTGATTACTTCGAGCTCATTAACCAAGTCAGCTTTTTCCTTTCCTTTTCTTAAACACAAAATTAGCTAGCAACATCGAGCTATGTATCATTATATCTTGTCATGACACTTGTATAATTTCCCTTCTGAATACGTATTAGTAGTGTTCTTAGCTAGAGTTTATAGATTGTAAAGCTAAAAGCATTAGTGGATATGATGCATGAAAACATACAGGCAAAACAAGCAGTTGAAATGGCTTTGAAGGACGAGAAACAGTTGATGGTGAGTTTTGAAATGCTTGTTTTATAATGGATCTTATTATTCTGTGATCCAAGGGAACTCTGGTTTCTTACAGGAAATTGAGTTTCCAACATCTGGTTTTGCATCTGTGCCAGGTAACTACTTTCATCTTATATGCAATTTTTCTTCAGTTAAGGCCTTTCTCTCTTGCTTATTAGATCTTACTGTCTTTAGTGTTTTTGTTCCTTGTGTTTTAGGTGATGGTGAAGGAGCGACAGAGATGACAGAAAGTATGAATATGATACGCGAATTCTGTGACCGACTCATATCTCCTCAGAAGGCTCGAACCACAAGAATTGTATGTATTCTCTACTTATCTTCCATCCAAAGACTCAACATCTATCAAAGTCTGCTTCTTAACATGGTTTCAGTTCTTCCCGGAGGCAAACGAAGTCAAATTTGCTCAAAAGACTGTCTTTGGAGGAACTTACTTTAAGTTGGACTATCTCACAAAACCTTCTCTCTTTGAAGACTTTGGTTTCTTTGAGAGAGTGAAAATGGCAGATCGAGTGAAGCCTGAAGACGAACTGTTCCTTGTCGCATACCCATACTTTAATGTCAACGGTATAATACACTCAAAACCTTCATCATCATCTTTGTTAACATCTGACTCATTCCTTTGTGGTGTGTTCCTCTTTTCCCAAGCTCAGAGATGCTTGTAGTGGAAGAGCTCTACAAGGAAGCTGTTGAGAACACTGACAGAAAACTAATCATCTTCAATGGAGAACTTGACCGCATACGTTCAGGCTGTATCCTTTTTCTCATTCTCATCAGTGTAACAAAGTAGAACTCAAGAGAGAGAGAGAGAGAGACTTCTTGTTTCCTTTAACCAAAAAGAAAAAGACTATCCAAAGTTCTTTTACCCAAAACTGGGAGCACTGACCGAGACGCTTCTTCCAAAGATGGAGACAGTGTACTACATTCACAACTTCAAGGGTCAGAAAGGAGGTGTCCTTTTCAGGTTTACTTCTGCTACAAGAAACAAATAAAGACTAATTGATATCCTCTTGTTAATTGATCTTTAGCTCTGATCAGTTGTTGTGTTGCAAATGTAGATGCTATCCAGGTCCATGGCAAGTCCTAAGGAGGACAAGAAACAGATGCATCTGTGTTCACCAGCAAGATACCATGCCTTCTCTCAAAGAAGTTGCACTAAACATTCTTGCCTCTGCTTAAAGATACATACACTGTTGTACTTAACTTCTTCATGTATCCACATTCTGTATATTAAAGGTTTTATATGGGTTAATGATTTCATAGTTGTCTGATTTTAGTTCTTTTTTAATGGACCCTTAAGATCACTAATGAGCCTTATTCGGCCCATTACCAAATTACAGTGTACATAGACGAAAACACCCCTTAAGCCCTAGACTGACGAATATAATTTCGTGAGTGAATTCACCAGCCGCTAACACACACACACACAGACAAAAAGGAGGAAGCAAAAATGGTGTCGGGATCAGGCATATGCTCGAAGCGCGTGGTCGTCGACGCGCGTCACCACATGCTGGGACGTTTAGCTTCGATCGTGGCCAAGGAGCTGCTCAATGGACAGAAGGTTGTCATCGTTAGATGCGAGGAGATTTGTCTCTCAGGTGGACTTGTCCGACAGAAAATGAAGTACATGAGGTTCCTTCGTAAACGTATGAACACTAAGCCTTCTCATGGTCCCATTCACTTCCGTGCTCCTTCCAAGATCTTCTGGCGTACTGTTCGCGGGTTAGTAAAATCAAAAAATCTCTCCTTTAAAGTTTTAAGTTTCGTAAAGTCTTGATTTTTTAAATCTCGTTGCTTGTTTAACACGGAAGCTATTACAATGTGTGTCTGTGCATTCAGTTTGTGTTAAAATGCTGACGTGTCAGTCTTGAGAGTTCTGTGTTGTTTACTTAAATGGATGTACAGATAAATTGTGTGGTTGTATTCAATGCATGATTTTAGCTGAGTGGAATTTTTGTGTGTATGGTTTGATTTTGCAGTATGATTCCACACAAGACTAAGCGTGGAGCAGCCGCACTTGCCCGCATGAAGGTTTTTGAAGGTGTGCCTCCACCATATGACAAGGTCAAGAGGATGGTTATCCCTGATGCTCTCAAGTTTGTCCCTCTACACTCTTCTCTTCCTTTTTATTTCACAAACTTTCTATTTCTATTTTGTACTCATCATTTTTTTTTTATCTTCAGGGTATTGAGGCTTCAAGCTGGTCACAAGTACTGTCTGTTGGGTCGTCTCTCTTCTGAAGTCGGGTGGAACCACTATGACACCATCAAGGTATGGATTTTCTTCTTTCTCCAACCTCCTTTTGCTCTTAATTACTTGTACTAGACTACTAGTTTATTTTCTGTTGATGTTTCATATTTAGATACTAGAATGTGTCTAGTTTTTGATCACATAGATGTTATTCATTAAGAAAAGTGGAAAAATCTTTAGCTTATGAGGTTTTGTGGGTTGTTACTGGCGTCTGATGACTGATGTGATATTAATGTCGAATGAACAGGAGCTGGAGGCGAAGAGGAAGGAGAGATCTCAAGTTGTTTACGAGCGTAAGAAGCAGCTTAACAAACTTAGAGTCAAGGCTGAGAAGGTCGCTGAAGAGAAACTCGGAGCACAGCTCGAAATTCTTGCACCAGTCAAGTATTGAGATCATAAGTTGTAGTTTTTGTCTTTGCATGTTTTGAGCCGACCTATAATGTTTCTTTCACTTTCACTTAGGTGTTATATCGGATTATGCCTAATATTTTCACCCTTGAGTTACATTTTTTTTATATCCCAAGTCTTTGTACTTTTTACTTTGGCAGTATCTTGTTATCCTTATACTTAACGTGACAAAATCACGTAACTTAAGTTAATAAACCAACAAAATAAAATGCTTCTGCTTTTTTGAGTATCGCTACGTTATCTCGCTGCTTTACTAGGAGGATTAGTACAAAAGAGCCCGATAAAAATCGATTAGAGATGATCTTTATGTTTATTTGAGGCATTGATTTAAATAAAATTCAAAGTTTGGTAGATGTTCCTGTGAAAATAATTTGTCGAAAAAGGTTTTCCCTTTATGAGAAAGCTTAAGGAGGATGCATTTTGAGAATTAGTGTCGAAGCCAAGCAAAACCTAGTATCATTGCTTTTAAAGATTCTCTCTCAAGCATCATTCTCATAATCATTCTTACGAATTGCGCAACCAAATTTTAATCACCATTGACACTGTCACACTGTGTATATCACTTCTATTTTTCATATTTAAGGAAGGCTAAATAAAATTCACTGTAGTTAAATTGTTATTTAGATTATTAAATTGATACATACTGCTAGTGTATTATGACCACTGAGTAAAGTACCTACGATTCATCATCATTGATAACACCTTCACTCATACAAATCCATTGATATATATATAAAGAATGAATTCATACACAAACTAAGTGTACACACTAGAACATTTTAATATATGTTCTTCAGATTTCACTCAAGAAATTCAAAGATGATCTTCTGGATCGATTTGGTTTTCCTCAGTGGCTTCTGGGTGTTTGGTTTCTCCAATCCAGATGGTATGGACATTCTGGACTCTGTCTTAAGTCCTTACCATTACTTTATATAATTTCAACTATTTTATTCAATTTTTGTGATGAAACAGGTTTCTTGAGCTTATCCTGCGGCGGTTCAAGTTACACAGCTGCTTATAACATCTCCTGGCTCTCAGACAACGACTATATCGAAACAGGTAACACTACTACGGTTAGTTACATCGAAGGAACTTCAAC